TTTTTTATTTAACTGGCAGTTGTAACACATTTCCTCAAGCAACCCCCCTTTCAAATGTATATTATGCTTTCCTTGCCTTTTATTATACCAAATGGCAGTTTCTACTGAGCATTCATTTCTTCTTCATAGTTTCTCTCCTCAGTCTGGGTGTAATGAATGACCTTTCCTTCATTTGGGTTAAATGACCAATAAAAACAATGGACTCTTCTTTACCTCATTTTTGTATGTCAAGTATGAGTATGAAACAGTATTTGTAGTTTTTAAGTATTTTTTAAATGTCTTTAATGCTGACAAATCCAAGGTCAGTGTGCTTTTGTCAATTAACAGTGTCTAAGGGACTGAAGTGCATAACTAATACATACCCAAACATACAGAATTAACACTTTAACAGAAAATACATATTATGGAAATAGGAATTTTGTAATTTTGGTTGTATACTTTACATAGAGTCAAAGTATGTGCTTCTGTTTATTAATCTTGTCATTCATTTCCATTTTGAACCACAGGCTTAGAAACCTACCCTCAGTGTCATGAAAGTGTTGTCCTTGTCACCAGAACAATCACCCAGCTGGGCAGCCATGAACTCAGCCACAGAGTGAATCTCAGGGATCAGTTTTCCTTCAGCTTTGTAAAACCTATAGAAGAGAAAATGGAGAAAAAATTGAAGTTAAATTGAGTTAAAATATTATTCAGCTATTCTTCTGTATGGAATCAAGTGTGGTTTTACTTCACTCACCTCTTGATAACATTGCTCAGGGCATACATGATGGGCTTGCTGGACTTGTATTTGGCCATCTCAAGCATGTCATTGATCAGGAGGGCAGAGGGATTGGACATGAGTCCCAAAGCAAAAACAGCAGCATCAACCTCGAGTGAAGAGCTTTCTAAAGTCCTGAGAATCTGCATGATAGCACTGCTGCACTCAGGGGTTCCACACTGCGCCAGAACCTGGTAGGTCAGGACACGGGACACAGCAATAGCCTCAGGAATAGCGGGACTCAGGGTCTCGGCCTTCATTCCACGGAACATGGTGACAAGCTTGTGGAAGAGGTGGGCCCTCCTCTCACCCTCGGTCTCGGGCAGATTGGCCAGTTCTCTTAGGAGGTTCAGACCTGCATCTTTATCCTGGACAGCACTCTTGTCCTCAACAGCCTCCATGTGAAGACCCTTGACAATGTCACCTATGATACGTAAGAAAAAGTTTGGGATTCAGTTCTGTTGCATTTTTAAAAAGTACCTGTAATGAAAATTTTAAGAAGTTAGGAAAAGTTAAGAAAAGGAGCTTACTGTGGTGAAAAGCTCTGTCATTGTGAGGAGAAATCTGAACCAGAGTCAACTCTTGCTTCCCAATATTGGTAACTCCATATTCCTCCCTGTGAAGAGGCAACACAGGGTCAAAAGTAGTCATAGGTTAAGTGTAGAAACCTTTGATAACACATACGTAGATGTACATACATAATAGAGAATAGTATAGTGTGCAACATAAAGTCTGACTTACTTATGTGAGAAGGGAATGAGGATGTGGTTCTCAGTGCAGGAGCCAGAGGTCATGTGTTTCTTCTCATTGTCGAATTTGTAGTTGCAGGTCTGGGAGCTTCTGACCAGCTGAGCAAGAGGGTAGTGCTGAAAGACAAGGAATTCAGCTAACCTATGATTTTAACAACCTTGTTGATTCTAAGGGTGCTGTTGTGGTTTGCTTTTTCACCACACTGCAGAGAGATTACATATGCTCCAAACAGAATTAGGACAGTGATGTAAATACTTATGCCAAGGAGGTTATGTTTTCATCTGTGTCTGTTTGTTGGTTTATTTGCCAGCAGGATTACTTCAAAAGTACAGAACTGATTTGCACTGAAGCCAATGTTTGGATGGGGTATGCTCTAGGGAAGTACAACTTAAATGTTGCTTGGGGCTAGGTTAAAGAGGCAGATTTGGGAATTAATTTTATCACTTCCCTTAACATTGCGAGATAGGGTATTTTTTCGTGTGTTGAGTGTTTTGCTTGGATGTCTTACCATGCCAGAGATAAATGCCAGGGGGCTGGTGTGATCTCTCATTGGGACAAATTTGTCACACCTGGACAGATCCCTGGTAAGGCTTATATCGGTTGCTATGTCATCTCTAGTGTTGATGGAGTAATGGGTCTTGCACATTCCATGGATAGTGGGCTAAAATGGGTGTGAACAGAGATATGGATATCATTTCATTGAATGTGCATTCTTTTCTGTGAGGAACTGAGAAGTATATTATTTTAAAAAACTTTAGATAAGCATTCTTAAGTGTACGCTTATAAGTAAAACACTTACCATGTTCTTGTTCTTGTCTTCTTCCACCAGAGGTACCGCCAGGGCAGATATGATACCCCTCTTTACATTCAGGATGGTTGTTGTCTCACCATCCTCGGGGTATAGTTTCACATTGTACACACCCTCAACCACAACCTTCAGAGGATACCTAAAAGACAATGTGAGAGTTTCGTCATTAAGTCTTTTATCTTATGTGTTTCTTTGCAAAATTTGTCTTCATGCAACAGAATGTAATGAAACCTACCTCTCCATTTCAGCAGCAAAGGCATCAGATCTTGCAGCAAGACCGAACACAGGGTTGCCCTCTGCGTCCATGTCGACCACCTCACTTAGGCTACAGCCAGTGGTGTGGACAATGAAACTACAAGTCTTAGGAACTTCAATTTCAACCTGTTTTAAAACATTATTTTAGTTTCTCCCTACTTGATATAGCTTTGAAAGAAAACCATATACATTAAATTGACTTAAGAGAAAGTAGAAAAATGAAATTTAGCTGTTAAAGCACAGTGGCATGTACCTTGCAAGTGACTTTAGGTCCATTCCTGAGATGTGAAGCACCATTGATAGCATTCAAGGACTCAGCTTTGTACAGGTATTCATACTTGTGGTTGGATTTGTACCTTAGGTTTACTTTTAGAGAAGATATTGATTTTAAATTAGAGATGTGCAATAAGTATGGTATAACAAAACAATAGCTTGCAATAACAACACAACCTTTATTAAAACTACTAAAGGAATATGACATCACACTTTTGGGGAAAAGTATAATATATGTGTACTAGCACCAAAGTGCAATGTACTTCTGAACTCTATCTGAATTCTGTCATTTGTCAGTTTCTCTCAAAGTTGCAATGGAACTGCCTTTTACATTCCATACTGGTTGTTTAATTAACATATTAACATACTGAACTTACAGAGGCAGGATGCATGCGCTTCTTGGGCATCTGTAAAAAAAATTATAAGATAATTAGATGGAAATATTTTTTTTCAAAAGAAACAAGATGGAAATAAAAAATACTTACAACTCAAGGTAAGTGTGACAAGGAACAGGGAAAGGTAAAGCTTTGAGTCCCTCATGATGGGCTCGCTGCAACTCTCTCCGTTGAGCTCCTTAGGTGAGTACTCAGATGAGACTCCTCCACATACTCCAAATAGGCCTTTTATACCAAAGGTTTTCCCTATGAATGGAGGTTGGAATTACATACAGCACTGGCCTGGCTCCAAAGTCCACTCTATTTGTGTGTGTGGAGGGACAAAGGCAACTAGTTTCATAAAGCTTTCCGTCAATATGATTATCAGGTGTCAGAATTTGTGTTGAAAGGTCTAAAACACATTTAAGTAGCATTCTGCATAAGAATATTTAAAGTTACAACTAAACAGAAGTGCTTTACTTTAGGTATAACAGTGCAATTCACATCACTAATTCTGAGTATACAATATCAGATTGTAATATAACACCAGTAATATACAGTTCATGTGTGACTTTCTTAATACTTATAGGTTTTTCAAACATCTCACTACAGTGATTGCTAAAGAGAATCATATAGGTTTATGTCAAAACTGCCCCCGTACCAGCACATCTCTATCAACTACTAAGTCAGGGTATATGTTTTTCATCACTTGTATGAAAATATTATACATTATATATTATACAGTTCAATAATATGATGGCTGTTAATAGTTTCAATGTTAAATGCCAATCTTTATAATCAACAGCCAAGATCAAAGATTTAAAATATTACCAAAATGTTTAATTTCTTGGTTTTACTTGGTGTGTGAGGTTTAGAAACATACATTGCATAATCCATACTGTTAAAATGGTTATTCAAAAGCACAACCCAGGAACTGTGGGGTTGTGCACTCTAGCTATTGATAAGGAGTTGTACAACTGATCCTGAACAGGCCGTTATCAAGCATCTTGTCTAAGGAGCATTGGACTACAGTCTCTGTTTGCTGTGTAGGCATGATCTTGCAGACATTAATTTATGTTTTACATTCTCTGCCCAGGCTATCTGCTTTGGAAAAAATACCCTTGACTTGAGGCCATACAAAACAAAAAAAAAGCTAAACTCATCTTGAAGCATATCTATTGCAGAAATATCAATAATATACAAAACATGACCCAAGTCCTTTGAAACTATTGCTTAGACAAAAAGGAAAGAAATCCTGTTACTATTTAAAAGATAATTAGCAATTTAAAATCCAAAGGTTTTAAACAAATTCTGTTATGTTTACTTTGATCGATGGGATCCTGCAAAAAACACAGAGTGACATTAATTTTGGTTATACCACATAACAGCTTTTCTGTGTTTTTGTTTCATCTGCACCTATCTTACTGGGTGGGGCTCAGTTGCAAAACGTTGATATCATGTGCTCTTATGTACCAGTTAAGATCTAACAACATTTGAATCAAAATGTGCTGACAACCGTTTGGTTGTTTGTTTGGACTGGTTGAGCAGGAGGCCTCAAGGTTCTCCTGAAGATGGAAAACTGATCACAGTGAAGAAAACCTTTATTTAGTCAAGTATAATGGTTAAAACACCAACCAGTTTTATCAGGGCAGAGACAGCAAAACAGATTGTACTGCATCACCTCTTTGCTCTGCCTAAGAGCACCTGAAGAACATTCTTTCTTTTCTTTAATCTTTGTTGCTTATTCATTCATGAGAATTTATTATTATAGTCCAGTACTGTACTTGAGATTAGAAATCAAATCTTCAGGGGCTTTAAGAATGATACGCTCAGATTATATTACCATCAGCGTTCACCAAATTTTTTTATAATCCCCAAATGACTAAATATAGTCAAAGATAAGTCTATAGTAAGATGCACCTTTTTTTGCATTTACAATTCACAAACATGCAGAATGTGTTCAAACATGCTTGATAAACAGCAACAGGCAGGACTAAATAAATCTGATTAGACTGCTTGCTACATCCTCAAGTTGATCTAGAGGAGAGGCAAGTAACATAAAACTAGAAGAAGGAGGCTCAAGTTTTCAATCTTTATTGATTTTGAAGCATAATTTAAATTCAGGGACAGCCCAGTACAAATTTAAAAAACAAACAAAACAACCCTAACTAGATACAAAACCACAATACTAGCACTACCACAAAAGAAAGGGTTACAGTACTAAACTTAGCAACACACAAAAACAGGAGAAAAAATGATTGAACCAAAATGGCAGCTCTCCCCTACAGAGCTTTCTCACAAGGTTTACAAATTAAGGATTACATCATACAACCAATAGCTCAAAGTAGAGAAAGTAACTGAAATTTAACAAATCTAAATCTGACCTCAATGAATATAACATAAAACAATTCAATTTTTCCCTCATCAATATACACTTAATACCCTATAATGACAAAGTGAAAACAGACTTTTAGAAATCTTTGCAAATTTATTGAAGAGGAAAACTGAAATATCACATTGACATATGCTTTCAGATCCTTTGCTATGACACTTGAAATTTAGCTCTAGTACCTCCCATTTCTCTAATAAAACATCTAAGAGATGTTTCTACACCTTGATGGGAGGCCACCTGTGGTTAATTCAGTTGATTGGACATGATTTACAAAGGCTCACGCCTGTTTTTTATGTTTAAGGACTCACAGGTGACAAGGCATATCAAAGCAAAAACGAAGCCATGCAGTCAAGTGAACTGCCTGCAGAAGAGAGAGAGGATTGTGTTTAGGCACAGATCTGAGGAAAACCTTTATAGTCTATGCATATATGGTATAGTGAAACTTTGCAAAGGCTGGTATGTAGCATGAATTAGTGTTGCAGTTGATTTATAGATATAGAAAATTGTGGCTCATGTGAACTACTGTATATTTAGATGAGAAAAGTACAGGTCTGGTTGCCAAAAAGATTATACAATGAATCAGCTAATTGGTCAATTTTGCAAATTCTCAGTTTATTCTGTGAGATTCATGCACTGTAACACCATGATATTGACTCTTGTGTAGTTTGATTTAACAGTTGCTCTTATTTATAAGAAGTTTGGATGTGAATTTCAAACAAAACATCATGAAACAGAAGACAATTATAGACTGCGTTGTTGTATTTTATTGAGTTTTTTTTACTCTTGCAGGAAAGTGAGTTTCAGTAAAATGTAACATGTTCAGTGTTTGTACACAATAAACCATCTACATTAAAACGATACAACAGGTGTTTCTGTTAAATTCATTGTTATAAATATGGTTAAAGAGCTAATTGTCCATACTCCTTCCAAGCATGTGTTCTGAACAGATGGTAGTCTTTCATATGGACTTATGCCTCTGAGAGGGTTCCTCATTGTTGGAAGGGAAACAGAAGGTCAAGCTCAAGCCTTCCTTGACTAACTTTCATATAGGTTTGTGCCTCCTCTGAAGCTTGCTGCAGGAAACCATAAGCAGTGTTATTGAACTGGTCAACTACATAAATGAACATGTCCATAATGTACTCAAATGCATTGCTGAGCTGTTCCATATTTAAGGCAGAGCTCTGGTCAATAACATTCTTTATGACTGTGACAAGTTCAAGATAGATGATATTGATGTTAATGAACAATGCATCTAAATAGTCAGATTGGACAGAGTCAACAAACTCCTGTGATTTCTCAACAATAGCCTTTAGGGTCTCACCTATCTTTACTAACATTGTGTCAAGACTCTCCATATTTTTCACAAAGTCCACCAGTTCATCAAACATTTTCCTGAAGCTTGTTTTGACCTGATCCATGGTCTGGGCTCCATTGATCGCATCACCAATTGGCATGCGTAGTTTCATGCTGCTGATCTTCTCAAAAAAGGCATTATAGTAGACTTCCATATTTTCATAGATGATGTTGGTGATTACATCTAGCATAGCTGCAATGCTGCTGGTCAGCTTCTTCAGGACCTCAGGCAGAGTGGTCATCTCATCAGAACTAGGCAGTTTGAACCGGGTCTCCCTCAAGACCTTGATGACTGCATCCAGGAAGACCTGGACAGTCTTCTGGTATTCGACAATGATGTTCCTGAAGAAGATTGACAACTGGCTCATTTGACTGTCATAACTGATTGCAGCATTATAGGCCTCGGTGATGCGGGTAACAACAGAGTTTTTTAACTCGTCCATGTTCCTTGTGATCTGGTACTTGTCCATAAACATTTTGAATGTAGAGATGATGGAGGGGATTTTCATCTTGAGCTCATTCAGCATTACTTTTGGTGCCTCCATATTGTAGGCAATCTGCAAGTTCATCTTATTAGCATCCCTTGAAGATGATCTGATGACCAATATGTCAACATCAGAGTCTGGGATAGACTGTTGAACAGAAGAAAATAAAACATTATTTTAGATATATTTAGATATTTGTATTTAATTTTCCATTGTTTAAAAAAAGATCATGTTAATGATACTTACAGGATAACGACCATAGACTCTTGCACTAATCTCAGATGGGACTCTGCCATTGAATTGAAGGCCCAGGAAGCCAGTGGAAGGGGTTGATACTGAGGCACTGATGCCATCTCTTCGAGCAGCATACCGGAGATTCACATCGGTGAAAGTAGGACTGGTTATGTCCACATTCAGGGTGTGGTGAGAAACACTGGAAGAGACAACATTTCAAATGAAAAATCCTGACTAATTCTCAACCTTATATTCAATATTAAGGAATTTAATTTGTACACACTGAATAAACGGTAAAGATGAGAATCAAGAAAAAGAGTAGTTTGAAAATTTACCTGTCATCAGCCTGGCGCTTTCTCCTAAAATATGAAAAAAAAGGAGTTAATTATTATAACCTCGAGAACCAATTATCAACATATTGTGTATTTTAATTCAAACAGTGGATGTTACCTCAAGGCCTGGGTAATGATGTGATTGACATCCATGCTCAGGTCACTATGTGTCAGGACAACTTTGCTAATCATGTTCAGAGCTTCGTTCTCGAAGTTTGCAGTAGTTGACGCTATTGAAAGAAATTGTTTTCTTAAAATTAAGTGCTCAACATTGTTTTCCACAAAAAACAGATAAATGTGTTTATTCAACTTACCATCCATGTCATATTCCAAGAAGACAATGACAGAGGTTGCAGAGGACTTAAAGGTGACTATGAAGACAGGAGCGTTGCCCTCTACTACAGCTGCAAGGTTTGTGGTGTACAGTGGGCTCACAAACTTGGCATTGGTAGAGATCTTCTGTTTGGCAGCTGTTACATCAGCAACAGTTTTCTCAAAGATGGTGAGTTCACCCAGGCTGCTTGGCTGAGAGATATCAATCTCAATATCCGCAGTCAAGGAAGACATTGGTGTAAAGTCAATGGTTACCTGGGCAATATGTTTCCCAATGGTGTTGAAATTGAACAGGTTTGCCTCATTGTTGCCAGTATATTTCAGCACTGCATACACATGGCTCAGGGAAGCATCAACAGCAAGATTCTCATTTACGTCCAAGCCAATGAGTTTGTTGGTGCCATAGTTAAGCTTGGCATCGGCAATAATCTTGGAGGTGGAGCGTAGGCCATTATTATTCAGGTACAGATTAACCTCATTATCCAGGACTCCCACAACGAGATAGTCCTCAAGTGCAGTGCCATCAATGTTTGCTTTGGTGGATGACTCCATGGAAATGTACTCAAAGGTTCCCTCCAGCTTCAGACTGTGGTCAGCCTCAGCCTTTCCAATAGCCTTGATCATAGGGATGTTGAAATCAGCCTTCATCCTCAAGGTGGAGACAGCATTTGCTTTGGTTTTGGTGTCTGCAACCAAATATTGATTTGCTTCCAGACGGAGTATAGGCAAGGCAATCTTTGCATTAGTAGCCACAGAGACTGTAGGTTCAAATGTTTCAGTACTCATACTGATGGTGCTGTCATGAGTGCCTTCAATGTGACGATTTTCAAGGGACAGGGAATTGGCCAACTTGATTCCTCTCTTGGTGGTCAGGCTGGTGGTGCCATCAAGTTTGGCTTGTAGACTCTCAAACACAGAGGCTGTGGTAGCTCCCAGACGGAACACAAGGTCATCCTCAGTATACAGTTGAGCATTGACATTCAGATTGATAATGGCAGACTTGAAGGACAGTTCTGTGATCAGGTTACCCACAGAGGGAATCTGGATCAGACCCATCATATCAACAAGCGGAGCACTCTGGCTTTTTTGGTAAACAATCTTGGCATCTACATCAACAGTCTGCTCAGTGGTAGTTAAAATGTTCTTCAGTCCAGTCTGCTCATACAAATTCAGATTACTAATAGCTGGAGTATGGAAGTCAACAAAAGGCAGATCAATCTCAGGAATGCTGATGGGGAATGTCAGGAAGTCAACATTGGCCTCACCATCAAAAGCAACGAAGATGCCAGCCTCATTTTCATTGTTGTCAACAGTGAAGTTGTAGAATATTTTGTACTGATTAAGGCGAGCTAGAGCTACTGTGTTCATCTGTTGGCTATCGGGTTTCAAGATGGCTGAGTAATCATTCTGCAAATCTATCTTAGCAGTCAGAGTTTCAAAAATGTTGACCTTGGCATTTCCTTTGTTTTGGAATTCGAAGACAAACTCAACAGGACGGACTACAATGTTGATTCCATTGGACAGGACTCCACTGACTGCACCATAAAGTTCTGTGTCATGGGTTGCTTTCAGCTCAACCTTCAAATCATAAAGGTTGGCGTGTCCAGATGCCACTAGAATACTGTTCTTAATGACTGGTGCTTCTGCCTCATTGCGCATATTGAACTTGAAGTAGGTAAAGGTGCCAGATTCAACAACAATTTGCTGTTTCATCTTTAAGATGGTAGAGTCTGTGTCACCATAGAAAGTTAGAGTGATAATGCTGGGAGTGAGTGACAAATTCAACTTGCTCTTGTGGGTGCCATCATCAGCATTAACCTTGCCAGTGCCTGAATTTTCAACTGTTAGGGTGAAAGTGAGGCCTTCTTGGCGAGCGATTGATTTCTGGGTAACAGTGGCCTCACTTCTGACATTGAAAATTGGCAGGTCCACTACATGAGTGTAAGTTGTATCAAGAGAAGCAGACATTCCTCCTTCCATAGCAATAAAGGCTGTGTTCATAAAGTCAGCAGTGTAAGGTATAGTGGCAACCTTAACTGCAGTCTTGGCTTGGGCCTGGCCTGATAGGCCATAGAGAGTTACAGATGCCTGATGTTCAACTCGAAGAGCCAGATGCTGGAACTTCAGAGTTTCAGCTACAACAACACGACTCATTTTTGGGATTGCAATACGGGCAGTGGACTCAAGTTTGTAATTAAGAAATTCAAAACTTGGAGATGTGGCCTGGGAGGTAAGGGCTCCAGTGAACTTAGGTGTCATTTCATTCTCAGTGGAGTTTTGGAACTCAGCAGACGTCTTGACGGTGTAGATGGGAGTGAGGAATTTGATCTCACCATAGATTTTACCAAAGCATGGGACCATGATCTCACTTGGAATGGTTGGTAGTTTGATCTCAGGAACCTGAAGAGACTTGACAAGCTTTTCTACGGGAACTTGGGGGATGGAAGGGAATGACATCTCAGGAAGAGTGATTTCTGGGAAGGTTATGTCAGCCATAGTGGGAAGGTAGCTCATGGTCAGGTCTCCAAAGAAAGCATCCACATCAGGCATTTTGATGTCAAAGTTTACAATAAAATCAATAAGTTCAATGATTCTCTGCTTGATCTCATCAATGGAAATTGTAGTGGCTTTTACATTGTAGAAGCCTAGAATGGTGAATTCAGGGATGTCCATCTGTGTTGGGATTTCAAACTGTTCGAGCTTGTCCATGCTGAATGTCATGGAAGGCATAAGAAGATCAGTGAAAGGAATGATGAAGGATGGCATGGTCAACTCGGCTTTCTTCAGTTCCATAATCAGGCCATTGATGATCTGCTGAATCTCACTGATGATTTTTTGCTCAGGTGCCACCGTCTTTATGATGTTAACCATACCGGAGAACATATCAGTGATGATGTTTATTGCACTCATGTAGTACTGTCTCACTGATTCCAGATAAAACTCAGTCACAAATTTGACATCCAGATTTGTAATTTCCCGTTTTACAAATTCAGCAGATCTCTTGAGGTTATCCAGCACAACCTCGTCAATGATATCCTTTACAGATTTTATAATTTCTGCAATTTTGATTTCTCTCAGCTGTTCCATTAAGTCTCTAACAGAGGATAAGACAACATTGACAAAATTTCTTGTTGCCTCAAGTTTCTGGGGGATTTCAAGAGCCTTGATCAGATGATTCAGGTAAGATGTGTACTCCGCAATAATTTGATTGGCATAATCCACAAAGTCATTGTAATTCAGTGAGTTAAGCCTTTGCACAATAGTTTCAATGTACACATTCAGATGTTGAATTATATCCTTGACCTCAGTTGATTTCAAGTAGTTGATAGCACTCTCGAAGACTTGCATGAATTTGGTAGGTATGTCTGCATCCCTCACCATCTTGACTACAGCACTGATGGTTTCCTCAATTCTGAACTTCTTGATGAGCTCCACAGCCTTTTCCAAGACAGCTTGAACCTTTTTGTCAGCCTCAAACTTTACAATCATCTCTCTCATCTTGGCATAGAATGTGTTGATCTTACCTAGGATGTCAAGGTCCTCTATCATTTTCCTAATATAATGTGTTATATCAGTGAGAATGTCTGTGGGAATCTGACTAACTAGTTCCTCAATGTGAGCTTTGAAATTGATAGATGAAATGAAGCTCTTCATCTCTGCAGCAAATGTCTGCATGTCAAAGGTCTCAATTACTCCTTTCATATCACTCATGATTGTTTGAAGTTTAGCCTTAATTTCATACTTGGCATCGATGTCATACAGGAATGCAATGCTGCTGTCCTTCAGTTTTTCCAAGTCAATCTGCTGGACCATTTCTCTTATGGTATCAATCACATATATAACCATAGACTTGATGTCATAATCTTCAGTCAAGGCATTCAGCTGTTGCTGGATATTCTGAATGAGGGTTTCAGGGAGGGTGCCGCTAATAATAATCTCCTTCATCATACCAGCAAAGTGTTGGATGTAAACGGTGAGATCAGCCAGCAGTTTTTTAACTGTAACCTCCAGGATTCTCAAAGAGGCCTCCACATCCTCCATGGTGATGGCATATTCTTGGGTGAAATCATTGAAATACTGGTTCAGTTGATTTATCTTGCCTTCTATATTGAGTTGAGAAATTAAGCCATTTATATGCTGGGGGAGAGCCTCAAGTTTAGTCATTATCTCCTCATTGTTGATGTAGTTTTGCAGTGCTTCTGCAATACGCACAACAAAGCCCTTCATGCTTTCCAAGAGGACAGGAAGAGTTTTAATTAGAGGGATCTGAATTATATGACTGTCTGTGTTCTTGTCATACTTGAGGAAGCCAGAGATGGTGAATTCCTGGTTGTCTGTGGAGTCTGTGTTGAGGACGCTTGTGAGAATGGTGCCAGAAAGCTCAATTCCAGTTCTCTCAGCAGTATTGTAAACACTCATGTCCTGATTAAAGGCATGCTCATTCATTTTGGACTTCATTCTAAAACTGGTCTTCTGCTCTTGGAATGACAGAACAGTGTCCATCTTGTTGTCAAATGTTGTCTCAAGGGAAAAACCATTATCTAGAAGCTGTGTGACTGATGCTCTGCACTCATGTGAACTAGCAAAAGCCAGGGGTTGTGCTTTAAGGAGGAACTTGCCATAGAGCTGGGCACTGTGCTTTCCATACATGGTGATGTCTCCATCAGCATTAAAGATGGCATCAAGGTTGAAATCAAAAGGAACAATGCTGCAACGGATGGTGTGATCAAAGCGCATTGCCTGTGAGTTGAAACGGGCATCGTTGGTGATCCTGGCAGCAAGACCGACAACTTCAAGCTCGGTGTTGTGGTTCATGTGAGTTCCCAAGAGTTTTCCAGTGGTGCTGCACTTTGCAATAGCAGTCATATCGGCATAATTTACCTGATAGGTGTGTTTGATCTCTTGCTCGCCATAGATAGCTTTTAGGCTTCCAGTCAGGTCCATCTTGTAAAACTCTGCCTGCAGCTGAGCCTCATTAATGAAGTTGGCAGCCAGAACTTTCAGGTTGTTGTTAACATTTGCAGAAGCAGTGTAGGGTTTCAGGTCGATGGTGATATCATGAGCATAAGTGGCATACTCACTTGCTATGGCTTCAGCCTTTGAGTTAAAGTCAAGGCTAGAAAGAGTAATGATGAGATTGTTGGCATTGTCAACCTTGATGTTCTGCATTGCAGCCTTGTTGGTAATGGATAAAGTAGCTCTTGAAGTGTCAAGCCCAGCATTGAAAGTGTTTTCTAGGGACAGGGGGCTCTGCAGGGTGGTTGTTCCACTTGTGGTCAACCCGTCCTTGTTCATCCTTAGAGTTGCCTTGTGATTAGCCTCATTCTCAAGAAGCTTCATTGAGGCATCACTGTTTACAGCCAAACCATTGGCATCAAGAGAGGCAGTCAGCAGAGAGTAAACCCGGTTTTCAGAGTGGTCTGCATTTGTCTCCATCCTCATGACGACTTCACCGGCACCAGCAGAGGCTTCAGCTTGGTTGCGGATCTTCATGCCAAGAGCAAGTGCATTTGCATCACATTTTAGTGACAGCTTACTGTCTTTGAAGTAAAGCTCAACAACATGTGTCAAGACATCTTCAAAGGCATTGGTGTTGGATACAACTGAGAATTCACCATTGGCAAGGGATGCTGTAAATGTGTTTTGGCCCCTAACAATTGTGGAGTCAAACTGAACAATAGAATCAATCTTTGCCACTGGCCTGAATGGGAAGATGGTAACTGACTGGGTCGAAGTGGTCTTGCCGTACATAAGTCCAGCCTTGAACATTCCCTCAAAGTTGTTATCTGCAGAGATTTCTTCAGTATTGATTCCTGCCATACCCGTGTGCTCTAGTGCAAAATTGAGACCAAACGGACTTGTGGCTTCAATCTTGCTGTTTGATCTCAAATGGATTTTGTCAGTGATGGTTACATCCTCAGTGATACTAACACTGGCTTCAATGAATTTATGGGCCAAAAAGCTCTTCAACTGGGCCTTAATGGAATCAGTGGTGGACAACATTCCTGAGCCTGAATAAAACACAAAAAGAAAAAAAGATACAGTGTGATTAATTTGCTCATTTACAATATACCTAACAGAAATATGCAAAGTCAACTAGTTCTGTGTAGTTTTATTGGAAATCACTTAAGCATTGTGATTGAAATTAAGTCATAGGATCAGAAAACTGTGACCAAAAACTGTTCCACCAAGAGTGAACAACACATAATTTTAACTGTGTATTAAGACTAACATGGATGTGATTGATGTATTAAAGATATAAGAAATCCATTAATAATAATTACTCTGAAATACCTTCAATCTTTATTGAAAGGATTTCAAGTGGGGAGGTTCCTTTCACATCAAACTTCGCTGAGTAGCTTGGAGTTTCCACAACATCTTTGCCAGCGGCCATTGAGGCCTCCATGTCATACAGGTTGCTCCTCATCAGAGCGTAAACTTCAGCTTTGCCAAAAAGAGGAATAGACAGAGTAAAGCTCTCAGGGACAACAAGCTCTGGGATGGGGATCTCCATGGAGACAATATCCAGTCCAAACTGGGGTAGAGACATGCTAGGTGTGGTCAAAGCTGGTGGGAAGTTAAGCTCCTCTGTTGACTTTCCTCCAAGAGGGAGAGGGATAACGATGGTGAAGCGCTCATTGTTGAAGTAGTAAATAGCCTTTGCCTCACTGTTAAAATGACAAAAGTAAAATGCATAAATGTTTTGTTTTAAAAATACTTTGATAATTTACTGGTTTACCATGGAGTTCATCACACTTACGTATTCAGGAACAGTGTCTCTGGCAGGGAAATCTCAGGCATATCAGGTAGTCTGAAGTTCTGAATGTAAGGGAACTCGGCACCATATTTTTCCATGTAGTTGTTTGCTGCCTACAACAAGACAAGCAATGTTTTTTGTAGGCTTCAAGTTTTAACAAAGATAACCTGAACCATTAAATCCAAGACTCATACCTCCACAAACTTCTTGAAGATGTGACGGACTTTCATGTCGGTCTGCCCAACCTGCATGTCAAGAAGCTCGTTGCCATAATTCTGAAATATTTCAGCGTTTGGCAAGATGGTGGTCTCAGTGTTCACATTAGACTTGAGCTCAACCTCAATCTCCTTGGAATCTGCAACAAGAGAGATAAATGATACACAATGAAATTTTGCATTTTTTCTCAATCAAAATGGAAGGTTTGCAATGAAAAGGTTTGACTTTTATGACTGATATCATAAATGTTTAAAATTGTCATTCTGTCTCATTAAGTCTCCCCTCAAATGGAGTTACCTTTATATGGCCAACAGTGTCAGGTGACTTGTTTTGGGCCGCATACTTGGGTCCCAAAGTTTAACCATGTTTCTTATGGTGTTACATGTTTCCATTCCATTGACTATGAAATTAATTGTTATGTAATATTATGAAAAAGGGTAAAACACATTACCATATTTCAATGCAATTTTCTGCTCAGAGGTGGCGTCCATGAACTTGATTTCACTCTTTAGCTCCATTTCCAATTCTTCATCACGCTTCATGTTAGCTGTGACAGTGGCATCGGTATTGATTGATGGGACAAGAAGCTGGACTTGCAGCATACCTTCCTTCATGGCCTTCAGACTGAAAGATGTATCAGTTAGTAAGTGTCATCTTGATGATTAGGGTGACATTAATGTTTTGTCATGAGGATTTCTTACTTGGCACGGCCAACCAGGGAGAGCTGAGGTATATTCTTATTTATGAAGTCCAGAGAGACTGAGTGAGTTCCTTTGCCCTTGGTGTTTCCATCAACAACACCCAGCCTGAGTCCAGCCTCCACATCGTAGTCAGGGATCTGGATGTCAGCAGTGATCACATTCTTCCTTCTGTTATATTTCATGATTGCCCTGGCTTCAGTGGGATCTACACCTGTTGTTGGCCAACCAAGAGATTAATATCACAAAACTCCACTGTGTGAGTGGTTCCAAATTGTGCTAATAATGAGATGGAAAGATTTTCAGCATTGTACTGTACCTTCAGCCCTCAGAATGAACTTCACAGAGTCAACCTTCTGCCGTCCCTCGTCTCCCTCCCTGAGGAGCTCGTAGGCAACAGTGGCTGTGTACTCAGTGACTTCACCAGTAGGGTGGAGCTCCATAGCAAATCTATTAAGATTAATTTGATATTTCTCAGTTAAATAATTTTATTTGAGAGACTACTATTTGCCCGTGGTTTAGAAACTCTCACTCACTTGCTGTCTCCAGTGAAGGGGAAGTAGGGGGCTGTCTCTTGAGAGAAAGCATCAATGTACTGCAGAGCTGTGCAATATTTCATTCCAGCGAAGACGGGAGTGCACTCATTAACATCCACCTTGTCCATCACCATAGGGGGAATGGTCCTCACCTCTGATCCAGTTACTGCCACCAGGGTGTTTCTAAATGTAACAAAGTTAAAATCTGACTTTGGCTGATTTCTATTATTTAAATGCAGAAAGGTTGATCACACAGACAAAAAAAACTTTGCACTTCAACTACATACAAACTTTGCTACTATATTATTGTTGGTCGTCAAATACTGTTGTCCAATTTGTACCTTAGGTTAGCTAATTAACAGTTGCATTACAACCAGTGGTCCAAAGAAGCCTCTGCTTTCATAATATCTGAAAATTCTACTAAGGCTTACGTCATTTTGATGAGCTTTGTAGGCCTCATTGGTGCAGGGATGGTCAGCTTGACATTTTCACGTCCCATGGAGATCTTGGCACTGAGCCCACTCTCATGGAAAATGTTGGTGTGCATCTCTAATCCAGAATTGACATATTCAGGGATGTGGGAGCCAACCTGAGTTACAAACTCAATGCCAGCGGAGGGCATGAAGGTAACTTCGCTCTGTTTAGAAACATGGAGAAACGTCAACAGTTGTGTTGATGCTGCGCAACAGAAAATTTATAGGTAGTATTTAAACACATTTATGGATAATTACCATGTCACGAGCAATCTTAATTCCACCCTTGATACCAGGGGTGAAAGTACCAGACAGTGCAATCCTCAGAGGAACACCAGTTACAGTAGGCAGGAAGAATTCATTGTCCATGAAGATGTAATGGGCAAAGATTGTGTTGTCAGCATTAGTCATCAAAGCCTTCATTAGCTGTGACAGGAAAAAAACATAAAACACGGATGTAACTCAATAATAAACAATAATAAATGACTAAATATGTCAAACATTTGTAAAGAAAATAACTGGATTTTACTTACATCACTAGGGAACATCTTGAACATGCTGTCAATCATCATGGCAGCAGAGTACGCCATCTCCTCCATTTCATTGCTCCTCAGATATCCCAGCTCATTTCCCAGAAGTCTCAGATAAACCATTGCCTCAGGAGACTGTGCAGCATTCAGTTCCCTCACCAGTTTGTTGAGGTTGCGTCCAATCTCCCTCATCAAGTTCTGGGATGCCTATGCATATAAATGTCCATACTGTGTTACTAAATTCATGTCCATTTGTAAAAATCCAGCCTCATGATTACAAAGTAAGATATTTAATCCATGTAAAATATGCAAAACAGATTTATCTGAATACCTGTCTCTTCATCCTGTCCTTCTTCATAGCAGGCAGCATATTCTGCAGGATCTCATTGACTCTGAGTGGCATGTTATCAGAGACAAAGTACATTGTCTTCAGGGCAGTGTCAGGGAAGAAGCCATTCTCTCCAAACAGGGCCTCAACAGTTGGCTCAAATCCTTTGCCCTCCATACCGATCTGTGAAGGTAACCATTTTTTCAGTAACAACTAAATTTAAAAATGGTTTCAAAGCACAATTTGGATTACTTATCTCAGAATGTTTACCTCCATCATGTCAATTTCATAGCCAAATGCTTTCAGAGTCATTTCAAGCATGAGCTCCTTGGGCAGATAGCTGGTACCCTCAAATATCATGTTGCCCTCTACAGATCCAATTTTGTAGTTGCGAGAGAACTTGATGGGGTCCATAATGGGCCCAATCTCATTACCCTGCAGGGCCTCATGAATCCTCTGTCTCAGGCTGTGGGAAAGCCAAAAAAGAAATGTTACAGTTAAACCAGATGGTGCTCAAATCAGGACACCTGTACTCACCATTTAGCGTATCAGGTGAAACAACAAATTAAAACACATAAATTTAAAGCTGCATTCGCTTTTCACTTACCTTTGGGTCTCAGGCTCCGTTGAGGACAAAATGTTAGTAATGTGGGAGATGACAAAGCTCTTGACTTGTTTGTCCTGCTCATTGGTCAAGGCATTAGCCAGCTGGGCCACTTCATGTGGCTGGGGGTCCTTCATAAGTACCAGGTAGGCAGCAATACGCTTTTGCACGGGGCTGGTGCTGTCCAAAAGCACTTGCATGAGAACCTCTCTGCTCTGTGATCAAAAGAGGTGGATAAAATCAGTATCAGTAACATTAGAAATAATGATCCAAAGAAGTTGTTAAACCAATAAAGTACTCCGACTTGCCTCCTCAGGGACGGGAGTCAGCCTGTACACTTGGATGGCAGCCTGCTGCACAGCCAGGGAAGCTGCAGGTTGGTTCACACACTGAATCACAGCAGATCTTAGTGCAGGACTAGCAGGTACCACAGCTGGAGCCATGTTTCCAATTACCTGGAATCAAAAGTAATCATAATCCTCATTGGTCAGAATCTAAATTCAGACTTGCTTTAAGAGGTCATTGCAGTGAAGTCTTTTTTTATTTAACTGGCAGTTGTAACACATTTCCTCAAACAACCCCCCTTTCAAATGTATATTATGCTTTCCTTGCCTTTTATTATACCAAATGGCAGTTTCTACTGAGCATTCATTTCTTCATTGTTTCTCTCCTCAGTCTGGGTGTAATGAATGACCTTTCCTTCATTTGGGTTAAATGACCACTAAACAATGGACTCTTCTTTACCGCATTCTTGGATGTCAAGTATGAGTATGAAACAGTATTTGTAGTTTTTAAGTATTTTTTAAATGTATTTAATGCTGAAAAATCCAAGGTCAGTGTGCTTTTGTCAATTAACAGTGTCTAAGGGACTGAAGTGCATAACTAATACATACCCAAACATACAGAATTAACACTTTAACAGAAAATACAAATCATGAAAATAGGAATTTTGTAATTTTGGTTGTATACTTTACATAGAGTCAAAGTATGTGCTTCTGTTTATTAATCTTGTCATTCATTTCCATTTTGAACCACAGGCTTAGAAACCTACCCTCAGTGTCATGAAAGTGTTGTCCTTGTCACCAGAACAATCACCCAGCTGGGCAGCCATGAACTCAGCCACAGCGTGAATCTCAGGGATCAGTTTTCCTTCAGCTTTGTAAAACCTATAGAAGAGAAAATGGAGAAAAAATAAGTTGAGCTAAAACATTATTCAGCTATTCTTCTGTGTGGAATCAAGTGTGGTTTTACTTCACTCACCTCTTGATAACATTGCTCAGGGCATACATGATGGGCTTGCTGGACTTGTATTTGGCCATCTCAAGCATGTCATTGATCAGGAGGGCAGAGGGATTGGACATGAGTCCCAAAGCAAAAACAGCAGCATCAACCTCGAGTGAAGAGCTTTCTAAAGTCCTGAGAATCTGCATGATAGCACTGCTGCACTCAGGGGTTCCACACTGCGCCAGAACCTGGTAGGTCAGGACACGGGACACAGCAATAGCCTCAGGAATAGCGGGACTCAGGGTCTCGGCCTTCATTCCACGGAACATGGTGACAAGCTTGTGGAAGAGGTGGGCCCTCCTCTCACCCTCGGTCTCGGGCAGATTGGCCAGTTCTCTTAGGAGGTTCAGACCTGCATCTTTATCCTGGACAGCACTCTTGTCCTCAACAGCCTCCATGTGAAGACCCTTGACAATGTCACCTATGATGCATAAGTAACATGGTTATAATGAGTTACCTTTAATGACCATTTTAAAACAATCAACTTCAAATCAAAACAATACAAACTAAACAAAGGAGCTTACTGTGATCAAAGACTCTGTCGTTGTGAGGAGAAACCTGAACCAGAGTCAGCTCTTGCTTCCCAACATTGGTAACTCCATATTCTCCCCTGTTGGAAAATAACAAGGGGTTAAAAATATCACACATCCCTTGTATAAGATACACATGCATAATGGAGCATTTTATAGGGTCTGTTGTACGGCGTGACTTACTTGTGTGAGAAGGGAATGAGGATGTGGTTCTCAGTGCAGGAGCCAGAGGTCATGTGTTTCTTCTCATTGTCGAATTTGTAGTTGCAGGTCTGGGAGCTTCTGACCAGCTGAGCAAGAGGGTAGTGCTGAAAACAAACAAATAATGATGTCAGTGTCGTAGATTATATGAAATTGTACCTTTGCACTATTGTTATTTCAGATAACCATAAGTCTTTTTTTCTTATTTACACAAGTTACAGTGGTTGCTCTCACAATCATAAAATTACATTACTATGGTTGTGTACCAGGTGATTTTTGATTTGAGACAGGATACAGCACTAATTTAAAGGTTGTCATAAAGCAGGTTTTTTTTTTCTTCAATGAACTCTGTTGATTTGAAGTTTAAACATGCCACTTAAAACCAAGTTTGTTCAATGTCTTACCATGCCAGAGATAAGTGCCAGGGGGCTGGTGTAATCTCTCATTGGGACAAATTTGTCACATCTGGACAGATCCCTGTTCAGGCTGATGTCAGTAGCAATGTCCTCTCTCGCGTTTATGGTGTAATAGGTCTTGCACTTGCCATGGATAGTGGGCTAAAATGAAGATGTTACAGATGATTAGAGGAAAAAATATATGTGTATGATGTACTATAGAAATCCATTGCATTCTTTTCAGTAAATACCATAGTATGATTAAATTTGACAGTGGAACTGAAATATTTGTCATGATTAGGGATTTTGAGCATTTTCTCTGTAAATCAATGTACCATATTCTTGTTCTTGTCTTCCTCCACCAGAGGTACAGCCAGGGCAGAGATGATACCCCTCTTGATGTTCAGGATGGTTGTTGTCTCACCATCCTCAGGGTACAGTTTAACATCGTACACACCCTCAACCACAACCTTCAGAGGATACCTAAAGGAAAATGTGAGATATTTAAATTTAATTATTTCTGCAATACCTCCAAAAATACCAGATTGAGGATAAAATTTCAATGTAGATAATATTTCACAGCAGTGATTTTCATGAAGTAACATACATTTCCATTTCAGCAGCAAAGGCGTCAGAGCCAGGTGCAGGTCTGAACACAGGGTTGCCCTCTGCGTCCATGTCGACCACCTCACTCAGGCTACAGCCAGTGGTGCGGACGATGAAACTGCAAGTCTGAGGCACTTCAATTTCAACCTGTGAGAAAAGGTAGTAGTTTTATTTCTCTCACGGTCTGAGAAAACAAACAAGCAAACAAACAAACAAACAAACAAACAGACACATGGAATAGGATGATTGTGAAAATGTTTCTCATACCATGCAAAAGGCCCTGGGTCCGTTCTTGAGCGGTGAAGCTCCGTTGATGGCATTCAAAGATTCAGCTTCATATTGGTATTCATACTTGTGTAAAGTCTTGTACCTTTTGGCCACTAGAAAACAAAATCAATGATTACAAGAGAGAAGAGATTTTGTTTGTAAAAGCAATCCATTTACTCCCACAAAAGCATTGTAAATATGTAGACTGGATGTCAACACAAAGATCAACCCTGTTTATGAGTTTAAATTTTGATCACAGCAAGTAGTAACTTACACAGGCAGGCTGGCTGATCTTCATCTTGGGCAACTGTTCAGAATAAAGTCAGATAATTTAGGTTTTTATTAACTATGCAACAGAAAACAATCTGAATGACTGTAGAATTAAATTAAATTAAATGCACCATGGCTACAATATTCATATGTGTAAAATTATTATTGCATGGCTTTACACAAGTGTAGATAAAATGTAACTTTTTTTCTTTAACAAAGTTATACATGTTATCTTAAAATGTGTGATAATATACTTTTAAAGGTTTGTAAAAACACACAATTTAGGAAGTATATGATTAAATCATTTATAGCAAAACAGTGAGATAAACTAAAAAATAACTTGTACTGTTAAAATATGTAGTGTTTTTTCAGAACTACTCACAAGCCAAGGCAGATGTACTAAGGAGCAGCAAAAGGCAGAGCTTTGAGTCCCCCATGACGGGTTTGTTGAAGCTCTCTCCCTTCAAGTTAGCGAGTACTCAGACGAGACTGATGTCTCAGCTTCAACTCAAGGCTTTTATACCCACAGCTGGGCTCTGTCAGGGGATTGGGAGGCACAGACAGTGGTTTGAACGCTCAAAGTCCACCCCACCCTCCTGTGTGGAGGGACAAAGGGAAAAGGTTTGAAATGATACTTCTCTCTCTCAAAGCACAGGCTTACAAAACTGGTCACTGGTGTTAAATATTCAAAATGTCTTATTTTAAATTGCAATAAAAATGCATTTTATGTTGATTTGCATTCATGACTTTGGATAAGTCATTTGAATTCATTAAAAGCACATTAAAGTTTAGTCTTATCAGATGCTAGTTGTTTTATTATACTTTGAAACCTCTAATATAATTCAGATGTCCATGAAGAGCAGTTGTTTTTCTGGTTATTTCTTGGTTTTGCCCAGTTGTCAGTAAAGAGTTACACTTGCAGGTAAATTAATAAGCCATTTATTTAAATGGAATTGTGATTTACTCTTAATCATTGTGAATATTCATATGACAAACTGTTAGAGTAGAGGAGCTTGTCTTGATTTTAAAATCAAGGTAAAATATGTTACATGGACTTAACTTAGGTCACAAGGTTTTAAATGCCCGTAATGAGAGAGGTTAATATTCTCGAAGTGCTGCTATGATAATGCAGAATCAATCAATAAAGTTGACTGGCCTACAGCTGCAGTGTGAATTAGGTCAGTGACAGACACTCATTAGTGAACACTGAGTGATCAAGGCATGCTCCGAACACAAAGTCCCTCTAGATGTGAAAAGGATGATTAACTTATCAGCTGCTTTATCTGTTGATGATATCAACTGGGAAAAAAAGACAAAGGGACACCTAAAGGCAACATTTCCTCTTTTATGTAAATGCTGGATGCTTCCTTTAGTGTTGGTTTGGTCATTTATTTACTGGTTTATTTAACAGGCACAGTTCACATTAATGAACATCATTTTACATGTGCCAAAAGGCTGCTTTTATCATCTGCAGTTACAATTTTGGATAATTTAACATTCATTTAATGATATCTTTAAGTACATTCATTAAAGACATTACTACACACATTAGGGCTATACTCAGCATTTTAAATGTGACTGTGACTAATATTTGCACTTCAAATAATCCTAGATATACAACTTACAATATAGTACCTTGTAATAGAGTCAGATGCTTGTCGTTCTGCTTCCACTGCCACAAGCCAAAATGAAAACAGAGAAAAACATTTACCAAACTTCAATATGGGTTTTGATGATGAACTTTAATCTTCAAAGATTCAAAGGTTGATGCAAAGTTTGATCTGCTGTTTAACTTGGGAATGCAGCCATGTTTTTGGCAGGTACAAAACACTGATAACTGAAGGCCTTTAACTTTAAATGATTTAGTCCAAATATAAAGCATTAACCATAGAAAGGTTTGAGAGCGTGCAGGTTTTAAAGACTGCTTAAACTTCTGAAATTCTTTCTTTTGTTCTTTTGTAAATCAATCACATAACTACATCTGAATGTTGTGTAATAGCCTGTTGCAATATATCCCCATCAGCACCTTTTTAGAAGTTTGCCAGATACTGACAGTGTTTGCACTGACAGACATGTACACAGATAGAGTCCAAAGGGAGCTTAAGCCTCTGGACACTTGTGTTTCATTTGCAATTTAGATAGTTTAGACTCTTATGCATGACTCTTATTTCTTTTTGTAATTTCATATTAATGCAGAGGTTTTCATTTTAAAAACAACATTTTTTTCAGTGGGGATTTTAAATACTCACTCTATTGATTACCCCCTTTTTTTCACAAGCTGGTGAAATCTGGCAATGGCTGTAGATGAAAAATAAAATCAGAGGATGAAGATAGAGAGAATGAGAAATAAGAAAAGAAATAAAAACGGTGAAGAAACACAACAAGCCACAATCAGCTGATGATCAGGCCAATTTTGGTCTTGTTACAGTATTTTAAGTCAAAAGAAATTAAAGGATGGCATACAGTCCTTCTGCTGTTGTCCACCCGATGAGGCTGATGAGGGTGATTCTAAACTCTGTGACCCTCACCACAGGAGACACACATGTACAGTCCCCCAGCAGGGCAGTTGTAGGCACTCTTGCCAAATCGATCGTTTGGTGTAAAGGTCAGCTGTTTAATCAACTGAGATTGCTCATAAGTACTGTTCTACTTTAATATTTATTTAAATTTTAGTCTGAAATTTTAGTCTGAAAAGTACACAACAAGCACACAACAAGTTTTAAATTATTTTTATTATATGCTTTATTTAACCAGACTTATATACAGATACAGCAGTGCAGACATTATCACATGTATGCCTTGCTCTGTGTAATCAGTAGTTATCTGTAGTTATCTGTACATTTCTCAACCCTACAGTATGGATTGTTGTGCTAAGTAGTTTACCCAATCTGCAAAGCTTGTCATCAAGCTTTCTGTGCTGCAACTTTAACCAAGATTGTCAAAATGATTCAGTTAGAAAAATATCACATAATGACTGATTATTATCATTGCAAACCATCGCAAAATATAACCTGTGAGGTTATGGATTCCTTATAGACCCATTTTATTTAAAGGTTTGCCATGTGCATCCAGCCATATGCCTCTGCCACATTGTGTACCTCACTGCAATTTGAAAAAGATGCTCAAATGCATCTTCTCAGATGCAAAAAGAACAAAACACTGTAGGTAGGACATGTCATTACCCTGTCTCTGCCCATCTGTGTCTGTACTATCTCCATCAACAAAGAGTGAAATGCCAAAAAGAGTAATGGTAAATCTTGAAAAAGCACAACTACTAATGTCTTCTTAAGACTAACATCTTTGTGAGAATAATTTGAATAAAACTGGTCACATGTTCATTAGCCTAGAAGGCACAATTCATGATCCAAATGTAAACAAGAGTGTAATTTAATTTTATATAAATTACTTTACATCTATTGATTTTATCTTAAAATTCAACAAACAAAAATTACCACAGAATGTTCAACTTTTTTGTGAGCTGTAGGTTTTCCCATCTTAGATCTGATGAAAAATTAAATTTACATTTATTCATTTGGCATATGATTTTATCCAAAGCAACTTACAAGTGACACTCGCACTAGTAAGTACTAAGTACTAAATCTGTTCAATAAATACAAAGAGCAAGATCAGGTAAAGAAGTGTGCAGTAAATGTGAGTTTGGCGTGTTTAAGTAGCGGCTGAGAAGGAGCATAACCCTGTATAATTGTGTTCAAGTAGATGGGTGCAGACCCAGAAGTCACTTGCAAGCATTTGTGACTTGAATTTGATTCAGGTGGCCATGAGTAGCCAGTGGGGGTCAGTGAGCAGCAGAGTGACGTGCCCCTTTAGGTTGATTGAAAACAAGATGTTTTAACTGCTAAGTAGCATACAATTCAGAAGTATCACTAATGTTACAACTGCAGTCTCCACATGCCCTTTGAGCTACAGATGTTTTATGTAACCTTTCCAGTTTGGTTAATAACTTTATGGAAAAAAAAACAAACATTAATTTTTAGTTGGATGTCCAATATTGTTTCCCTTTCAGTAGTGGCAGAAGTAATCTATGTGTAGCCCATTTTACAGTCTTGAGTGCCCTATGCTATTGCAATATGCATATTTGTATGTTGCATTGTGTTCACTGAATATGCAATATATGCAATATGCTTAATGTGCAGTCCTGTATTTGATATTCATAAACTGTAGATTGGATCTCATTAAAAAGAAATCTGCAATGATGTTAGCTGCATAATGCAGTTTAGAATACATGCTACCACAGTTTACTGACCTGTTAGTCAATCTGATTGAGCAAACATTGGCTGAAAGTCCAGACACAATGAAGTCATGCACAGGGTATCGCTATATCATAGACAGCCATGTTCACTCATTGTCATATTGTTCTTCAGCTTTATCAGGAACTGACAGATAATACTTAAGACCTACCTAATAAAAGCATCACTGACAGAACCATTGTATGAATTTTATCACGTACAGCAGCGCGTACACATAATACATGCATAGATGGTCAACAGAATTGAAAGCTACATTATCTTTATTGCAGAAGTATGCCTGTGCATAGCAGCCTTGTCTGAGATAATAAATGTGAGCATTAATCCAAAAGTCAGTGCATTAAAACTACCAACCATAGTTTGGGAGAAGAAACTTTACATTGGGAAAGTTTCTGACCTTGTGAATATTTTCTTCATAAAGTTATGTGTACTGTCAGTTAAAAAACTATTGTGCAGGAGACATTATTATTGAAAAAATAACTTTTTGTATACTTTTGATATTGTTCCAGGGATTGATTTGATCAGTACTGTTAACCATTCAATTATTTACAGCTTTACAAACAAAAATTAAGTGTAGAAATGTTACATGTTGCCTATTGCCTGTTTTGTATGTAAGCAGATGCACACACACACACAGAAATGAGCCACCTTCCTAGTTGAAAGTCCCATAGCTCAGTGTTTATGATGTACAGGCACAGCATGTTATGTCGTTAAACATACATACTGTACATACATTGAGGACTTTTAATGCAAAATTGTGCTGTTTTCAACCTTTGTTGGACATCTGGAAGCTTCACTCACTCTACGCCTCCACAGTAACTATGTGAGGATAAAAATATAAAAGGAGTGATACAGGAGTGAATGAAACACAAACAGCAACTGAAATTTTGACCCAATGATGGAACTAGATGAAAGCTCCAAAGTCATCAAAGTTATTCTAACTCATGCCATGCGGACCATACCAAATGACAGGAGACATGCCTGGAGACATAGTGTAGCAGGAACCAGCACAGAGGTGGTTCTTACAGGTGTTAATATGTACTATAATAATACTCATGAGTACTCATGTAATGATGTAATAATGACTACTTAATACTCATGGGTCAGATTGTCAACTTGTTGACGACTGTTAGTCATGATTGATAATGGTCTAGTGATGATTGACTGTTATT